AGTGAAGTTTACCTATGGGAGATATAAATGAAAGTAGAGTTATAAGTAGTCATTGAGTTATAATAAGCTGAAAATAAAGAATATTTTGTTGAATAAAATAAGTTTAAATATAAAGAATGTTTTGTTGTTCTTGTATAAGCATTCTCTAATATCTTTGTCAATGGTATAAGTAGAGGTACATGTTTTGTTTTGTTAGTCAAAGGTTCACCCATTTGATTGGATTCTTCCTTCATGGAGTTAAATTAAGATGCCTCATATACTTTCTCAACATGAGTAGTTACCCTAAACCATAATCATATCCTTTTCTCTCTCACATAACACCTTCCAATAATTGTAATATGATTGTAATTTTGTTTTAGAGTCTAACATAAGAGTAGTGTTACCCGACCTTATAGTTGAGTTTAGCACAGTCTCTAACAATCAAAACTTACCTGATATAGTCGTAAAAGTAGCTTTTTACATAAAGAGGTTTCACTACGTGGTGACATGCAAGAGCAAGTGTTTATGTATCCTTACTGCTTATGGCCGAAAAATAACCCTTAATAAATACCATCAAGTGGATGTCATCATGCCCTTCACCCAACCGATCACACATAGGTTGATGAAAGATGGAGGAGTACATGCAAGTAGGTTTTTATTGCTTTACAAATTTTTTTTTTTCTTATTTCTCCTTTATATCTTGCTTCTTATGCCCTCCTTTTGGTGGTGCAATGATGAAGGAGTCTACCAACATTTAAAACCATCTATAGCATTACTCTTTCAATCTTAACATTGCCCACCTGAAATCAAACTTATTATGCATATTAAATAGGTTTTAAAATTAAAAGAGTTTTAATAATATATATATATATATATATATATATATATATATATAATAGAAATTCATAGAAATAGGCTTCAATTTATATATCATATTTTGTTAATTAATTTGAAAGCCCCTCTTTCACTTCACTTGAAACCTTTCTTCGATTAAAATAAAGGTTAGGATGAAAAGCTCATAATGATATCTAACAACAAAGACATGATGCTTTCTCTGATTGTGACTTGTCAGCTACGACTCTTTGTCCATTTTAAATACTTCTTATGCACATGGTTGGGTGGATATTGAGATTCACTCTTTTTATGAGGGAAAATGTTTTAAATACTTTGAATATATTTTCTTGTTTATAGAAGATTGGTGAGAATTCTAACTTATTAATACATACACGTCTAACTACTATTAGTAGCGTTAGTAATAATAATAATAAATATCCATTGAAAATAAATCTAAACGTTATGTTTATACGTTAAAGGACTAATCAAATCGTAGCAGGTTTTAGATCTAATAATAGAGCTAAGCATGTTGATTGAACTGAAAATAACGTACCAACTTTATTAATTTTTGAAGAAGTATTATTGCCTGCGAGATACTCACGTCAATGGAATTTTATAATCCATTGATAATTTTGGAGAAAGAGAGAAAATTTTATAATCCTGCAAAATTTATTTGAGTGAACGCAGATCTTGATGTAATTCTAGACATAAAAATGCTCGAGTATTTCAAGTAAACTTTTTTTTTTTTAAAGTTAAGTAAACAATTTTTAGGGTCAACTAAAATATCATCCAATTTTTATTTAAAATAAATTTATAGTTTAAATGAGTGTCTAAACAAATCCGACGAGCATATGATCACTTAACTCCAATGTAATTAAAAGATTATATTATATATATAATATTTAAATGGTATAAATTTATGTATATTAATTTTTTTAAAACCTGCCCAAACGCTTTAGTTTCCATAAACTATAACTTTTCTTATTTTGAGTGAGCTTACAACCTTGGAGTAGCGGCCTTAGCACCTCAATCCTAATGCTAAGCAGCCTAAGACCAAACAACACTAGGAAAGAGCACTTGAAATTAGAGAGTGAAGGTTATAAGGGAAGGATAACTCTTTACTAAGAAAGCTCTTTATAAGGATTGAAAACTTGGATGCTACGGAATGCATTACAAATAAGGGGGTGGGTTCTTATTTATAGTCCACCCCTTATCCTAGAACATTCTAGAACTGACTACATAATACATATGCGTGGAGTTTTCTAGATGACTCCACACTATTCTTATATACAATTCTTTTACATTGCATTATTTTAGAGAGTTTCGAAGTTCTCTAAAATACTCTCCAAGTCCCTACATATATCTAGATTACTCTAGAGACATGTTTAACCTTCTGAACTTCCATAGTCTTCTAGAGGTTTCTAGTTCCCTCTAGAGTGTTCTAGGCTTTAGTAACACCTTCTAGAGTCTTGTAGAATATGATGAGTCTATGTATTGAGAGCTCTGGTTAGTCTACTTGCCCTATTTATCCATGTCATGTGCAATTTAACATGGCTAACCTCATGAAGTTTAGGTGGGGCATGACACTCTCCCCCACCTATTCTCGTGATGCCCTCATTGTGTGTCTTCTAGCAGCAACATCTTATATAGTCCATGGTTGCTCTTTGACCCTTGAACTTCTTCCTTACTCCAAAGTTGGGTAGCCCTCCATTTGGCATGTATGCTACCTTTTCTTCCCTTGGCATTGGTAGCTTCTTACACTACCCCTAACTACCCCTGCAATGTGACTCCCCTGAACCCATTTAGAACATCTGCTTCCCCTCTAGCTCATTCTCCTTGGATCTTGGCTTTATATGTCCACTAGGTTATGCTAAGAGGATCCCCTTATCCTTTAAGGTGTCATTCCTTGTCTTTGGTTCCTTCTTCCATGGCCTGACATCCACAACTTGGAAAGCTGCCAACCGATTCAGGTATTGCTAGGTCCTCCTTAGCATGGGCACCGTGCAAGCCATACCACCTTCCATGAAAATAAGTCATTAGTGAACGCCTTGGCATGGTCGAAGAAGTCCATCCACATAAATGGCTTGATAGTCATCCATGGAGACGATGAAGAAGTCCAACTTCCCCTTCCAAGCACCCATGCATAATTTTACCCCACGTGCTATGCTTTAGATGGGCTTGGGTGCTGAGTTAATTAACTTGATAAAGCCTCCTTCATCGCTTGACTTTATACCCAACCTCTTTGCTTCCTATCATGATAAGAAGTTATGAGATGCCCAGTTTTCAAAATGGCCTTGGTGGTTTCCTTCCCCGCCGTCATCTCCAAAAAGAGGAGGTCCTTTTCTTTGATTTGAGGCGCTTTAGTTTGAGGGGCTTTTTGGATGGCACCAAGCATTTGGATCGCCCCCATATAAGCAACAATCCCATCGTCTTCATCCTTTCCTTTATCTTCATGGGCTACAAGGAGTGAATTTAAAGCCTTCTTCTTTGGCAGGCCCTTGACTAATGAGGACCTCCACAAATGAAGCATTTGTTCAACCTATATATATGTCTTTGCCATCCTTAGGCTTCTCCTTCTCCTTGCTTCTGAAGTCTCGAGGATGCTTGCCCTTGTATTGGCCCTTGTCTTTAGGATGACTCCTGTCTCCCCCAATATTTTTGTGGTTGCCTTCCTTAGGTTTGGCCTCCTTGGAGTAGTCCACTGAGCCCTCCGCTGTTGTTATGGAAAAAGTCTCCTTGGAGCAGTCCACAAAGCCCTTCGTTATTGCTATGGCGGAAGCCAAGTCCTGTACTCCCCTTCGCTTGCCCAAGGTTGGAGGCCATCCATGAAGTTGAAGAGGGCATCCTTGTCATACATGTAAAGGATTTCAAGGGCCAAGTCAATGAAGTCCTTGATATAATCTCGTATTGACCCTTCCTGCTTTAGTCGTCTGGGCTTGACTCTAGCTTCATCCTCTGCATTCTGTGGGTAGATTTCCTTCTTAGTTCCCTCTTAAAATCTACAAAGGAAGACATGGAGCATACCCCCTTTTCTATATATCCTTTCCTCCTCCTTCACCAAAGCATGGCGAAGTCCTTGAGGTAAAGAGCCGTTAACTATATATTATACTCTTCATCTACCATGCCCATCACCCTGAAGTACTGCTCTAGTCCCCATAAGATGTTGTCCACCTCCTTTGCATTGCATGAACCCCCAAATCTTTAAGGCTTTAGCACCTTGATTAGCCTTGCCTCACTTGTGCTACATGTGGGTGTTGTTGCCAATACGCACTTGCACAGGGCCACATCCTAGTTGAACTTGAGAGAGCATCCTATTGAGTTCTCCTATGAACCCCTCATGCATCTTGGCCATCTTGTCCCTCATGGTATCCTCCAAATGGGATATCATGTCTTTAAGGGCACCATGGATGGTGGAGTCTTCTTCCTCAATCCCATCCATCCTCACTTCCATCCAATCAACTTGAACCTCCATGCCATGTATAACCTCTTCTATCTGAGCCAGTCTTGACTTGAAGGTGGAGATCATGTTCTCATACTTCCCCCTTAGCCATGATGAAGCAGGATCAACTTGCTCCTCTTGTACTTGCACATGCCGCATTAGCTCCACATGGGTTGTATTTAGACTCCACAACATGATCCCTGCTGCTTTATGCCATGCTTGGATCACTCTTTTGACACTAACCTTATCCAAGGGATTCATCCAGCTCTAATACCAACTTGTCACAGAGAGAACTTTCCTTAAACCTTCCTTGTGGTCTTAGCACCTCAATCCTAATGCTGAGCAGCCTAACACCTAACAACGCTAGGGAAGAGGACTTTAAATTGGAGAGTGGAGATTAAAAGGGAAAGAGAGCTCTTTACTAAGAAAGCTCTTTACAAGGCTTGAAATTTTGGATGCTATGGAGTGCGTTATAAATGAGGGGGTGGATTCTTGTTCTTAGTCCTCCACCCCTTATCCTAGAACATTCTAGAATGGACAACATAATGCACTTGTGTAGAGTTCTCTAGAAGAGTCCTTAATATTCATACATAAAATTTCTTTACATTACATCATTCTAGAGAGTTTAAGAGTTTCCTAGAATACTCTTCAAGTCCCTATATATATCTAGATCATTCTAATGACATGTAGGACCTTCTGGACTTCCATACATGGACTTTCATTTATGGACTTCCATTCTTATGTAGAACCAAAATACCTACTTTAGCCATACCATGTCCAATTTAGCATCCATTCTCATAGGGCGTGACGCTTGCTCCGCACGTTTGTAGGACTGCCTCATAGTTTTTCTTCTATTCGGAGGCGATGTCAAGGATTTCAACTTCCGTTTCTCTTCCGCGCCTTGCCGCTGCCGCCACAGCCTCCGCCTTTCGGCGGTCCGCCGTTTCTCTTGTTGCGTCTTCTTTTCTCTGCTCAAAGAGGTTCGCTTTTCTGGTCGTCTGTCTGGTTTTTGAGGAAATCTTTCTTATTAGGTAATATTCTTGAAATTACCTTGATATTAGGTAATATTCAGGCGGAAAATTTTCGCGATGGCTGCTGTGGAAGCCACAGGTTCGATGGCATCTGCAGACTCTTTGGTGGTTAAGCTGCCATTCCACCCAACCTATGATCTCAGGGGCGTCGTCGCTCTCGCTCTCGCTGAAGATGCCGGAGACCGAGGTCTGCTTATTTTCTCCTTTTTTATTCTTGGCTTTACATCTTTGTTATATTTGAAAACTTGATTCATGAATTGAATATATCGAGATCAGTCTTAGAGGATTGCCATTTTCAAATGCTTTGAGTAATCTTAATTATGATCTGTTCTATGGATTTCTAGTCAGGTGAACTCAATGTGCTGTTTTTTATTTCCTTTGAGCTTGATTATGGAACTTAAATATGAAACTACATCTCTGTCTTTCCATTTCAGCTTAAAACTATGCATGCTCAAACAAGGGCAATTTTACATTTCACCTCGTTTTTGTTGTTGTTGTTTAATAAATTTCGTTTTGGAACTTTCAAATTCATCTCAGTGCGACTCTTTTTAACTATTGTTATGTTGAAAATGTGCTATAATTGCTTGCGAAGTAGTAATCTCTTGGATTGAAACTTTACTGAAAAATATTCTCGCTAATAGTATTATGAAGTAACTTAGACTAAAAAAAAAAAAAAAAAATTAAAAAAAAAAAAAAAAAAAAAAGTAACTTAGAGAATTGTACTAGCCACAGCCACCAGTTCTTAATAGTAATTAATGTGTAAAAAATGTGCCTTTGGAATTGAAACCATTTAACCTAGAGTTGCTTCAACACTGTTATACTTGGTCTCTACTAATTCATAATCGCAATTCATTTGGAGAGTCTTTTCATATTGAGCAAGACTAGATATAATCTTTTCAACATTGTAATACCTAAATGCTACCGTGGTTTGGGAGTGGGAGGAATGATTACTGGCTAACCTCCTTGATAAGTCTTACCAAACCTCCAATGGTAACCTCCATGATTGAAGCCCGCTAATCTTCTTCTCATTTGATTTCTTGCTTGACCTTCCTACTTGATTACTCTCCTCTTCGTCCTTGTCTTGATTGCTTGGTGAATGCTTCTTCCTCATGTGTTTCCTTGCGTTCTTGTGTTTGCACCCAATCTAGGCCTTCTTTTTTTATTTCTTGGAGAGTGGAGAGAGTTAAGAGGGATATGATAGTAAAGAGGAGAGGTGGGTGTATTGCAACTAGGGTAGTAAGGATGTTTGGGTTTTGTCTAGTTAAAGAAAAAGGTATTTTGGTTGCATTTTTTAGAGTCCCTTGGCCAATTATAAAAAAAAGAGAGTTAGGTTGGATATTTGGAAGGGAAAACATCTTTAATTGATTAATCAGATGAATACAAAATGCCTTGTACATGCCATGCTCAATAATTTCTTTGATAATTGATTTTTTTACTTGGATTTTGAGATTGAAGATGTGAGACCTCCAGGATCAAAGTTCAGTTTAAACCAGTTGACTCAATTTGAAAAAGAAAATTATTTGAAATTTTGAGTTTTGAAATAAATTGCATGTCTTTGAGAGTGTTTTTATGCATGAAAATGATTGTATGTATTCTAACATGAGTCCTAAGAGTCTGAAGGGAATTTTGGCAAAATCTGAAGTATTTTACTATTTGAGCGCCTCAATGTTGGGTGTCTGAGCGCCTCGGCACTGCTATAGTAATAAACGCCAAATAATGACATTGCAGAGCTCGTCTTTTTTGGATTTTTGAACTAGCTCCACAACGCTAAGTGGTAGCGTTACAGTGCTAGGCCACTAATAACACATGAAATATCTTTTAAAAGCGCTATTTGATTCATTTCGATCGCATGCAACATATAATGAGTAGAGAGAAGGAAAGAGTTCTTAGAGAGAGAAACTCCATTTTGAGCCACTTCGGGCTGTTTTTAGCTGTCAGGGTGGTTGGGAAAGTTGTTTGTCTCTGAGCAGGTTACTCTTTGCCTATCTCAGTTTCAATAATTTGATTTATTGGATTTTTTTCATAAAATTTATATTTTTAGTACCGAAAAATGAGGATAACTTTATATTGGTAGAATGTTTCACTACGTAACTTTTTATATGTTATAGAGATTTGATTATAAATATTTTGAGTATTTTTTGAAAATTTTCAACATGGTGTTTCGAATTTGTGCGACTTTTATTGAATAGAAAGTTATTTGTACTCTGAAAAATAGTGTCGTATTATGATTAAAGTCTTATAATGATGTTTTACACAATCTCTAGTTATTTATTTATATTTGAAAATTATGCATTTTTTACTTAATAATATTTTTATAACTTATCGTTAAGACATTTTGGTAATTTTTGAATTGAGTCTAATTATGTTTTAATTAGTGAAATGCATCGAAAATGTGTATAATGGTGAAAGAAATGTATGATGATGAGATGTTATGCCGACGTTAGTGGGCGATCTAGGTGGGATTCTATTACGCCGGTGTTAGTGGGCGACCGAGGTGGGATTCTATTATGTCGGTGTCAATGAGTGATCGAGGTGTGATTGTATTATGTCAACGCCAGTAGGCGACCGAGAATATATTCTATTATGCCAACGCCAGCAGACGACTGTGGTGGAATTCTGTTATGTCTGTACTAGTGGACGACCGAGGTGGGATTCTATTATGTTGGTGCTAGTGAGCGACCAAGGTGGAATTTTATTATGCCATTGCCGGCATTAGCGGACAATCGAGGTGGGATTCTGTTAAGGAAGATATATGACATTTTGGGCTGAAAGCCATTCTGATAATCATGATAACATGTTTGCTTATAAATCAATCAATTTCAGTGCAACTTTCAAAGTTATTTAAATGCTCTTAAATGCTTATATGAAGCTCAGTCTCAGCTTCAATTTAAGTTTCAATTTTTGTAATCATTGATTTCTGTTTTAGACTACAATAGTCTACTGAGCCGTGTTAACTCACTCTTACTTTTACTTTCATTTTCAAGCCAGGAGAAGGGGAAGGGGAAGGAGTGAGCTAAGTATGTTTAGATGAATGATACTGGTGGTTCTTTATCTCCAACACTTGATTTAAGAGAGTTGTATGTTTCAAGGTTTGGAACAATGAGATTAGCAATGATATTTGAATCAACAAATGAAATAAAAACATAGGACATGTTCTTTGTATTTGTAGGACTAATGTTGGGCATCTACACTAAGAAATCCTAATTAGTTTTTACTTGTGTGAATAGACCAATGAAATTGGTGAAGTAATTTGTGTGGACAACAAAAGGATGTGCATTTGGAGATAACAAATTAAAAGCAGTATACAACTAGATGATTAGATGAGCCAAACAAAACCACTAATGATAGCCTCTTTGATTAAAGCTCCCTTATCTTTGTCTCCTTTGATTTCTTTCTTAATTTTCTCCTCCTTTTCCTTGCATTGATAGTTTGATGAATGATTCGTTGCCTTATATCTTTATTGTACTTTTGACTTTGCACCTAATATAGGCCTCCTATTTTTTGTCCTCTTGGGTAAGAGATGAAGTAGAGACAAAGAAAGGGTAGTTGAGAGTGAGCATTGAATTGCCAGCTATGTTGGAGAGAGGATGCTTGGGTTTAGTTTAGATATTGAAAGACGTCTCTTGGCTATCTTTTTTTTTATAAAAGAGAGGTCCTTGACAGTATAGGAAGAGAAGAGCAAGGGAGGGAAATTGTAGAAGAAATTATTCTTAGATTTAACAATTTAAATGATGAAAAATGTTTCACTTAAGTTACTATTCAAAGGTCTTAAAATGTGTCAATAAAAAATTAAAATAATGAGATTAAATGATAATTATTATTTATTTCAGTTGACAAGCCTAAAATTACGGCAACTTCTTGAGAGTACATTATTTCAATTCTAGGTGGTGCAAACACTTCTTATTTTCATTGAAGGATATTCTGTTAGGACTTGAACACCTTAAATTAGCAAAAAAATAGTAAATTTTAGCAAACCAAATAAATTTTTTTGTTAAGAAAGCAAACACGAACAAGCATGATACAGTGATCTCCTTTCGAGAGGAGGACATTCTTTTCCAAACTCTACATGCTCCTAGAATCCCTTACAAAAATAGTAGACAACAAGAACACTCACAAAATCTATATCAAGAAAAGAAAAATACAACCAAAACGCCTAATATATCTTTTACTATCCCCAACCCCCAAAACATGAATTTATTTTCCCCCCAAAATCTGAATTTACTCCATGTTTTTCCCCCCACATTCTCTTTTGATAAGCGATCTACTCATTTAATTCTCCTCCCTTTCCAACCCACTTTTCAGTTTGGTTGCCCCCCCCTCACTTGGGCCCACTATTTTAATTGAGTTGGCCCTATTTTGGGCCAACTATAATGAATGGACCGGCTCAACCGGTCCATCAATACTCACCCCCAAAAGTGTCACTTTGTCCTTAAGGTGGAATGAAAAAAACATCTGTTGAATAGTCTAATATGACTCTTATATGGTCTCGTACTTAGAAAGGTTCCTCCTCCTGATGAACACTTCTTTGCTTTCTATTACTCACTAACGCACTCCTTCAACCTCCAATTGTTCTAAAAATGCCTCTATGTTGTCCGTCATAGTCGGGAGAAGTGAAGACAAGGGAATTTACTTTCCTATCACACATCGTAGCTGGGGTACATGAAACACCGAGTGAATGGCTAACGATTGTGGAAATTGTAGGCGATATGCCATGACATCGATGTGCTCTACTATCTCGTATGGACCAAAATAATAGGGTGATAACTTATCAATCTTTTTATGTGTTAAGATTCTCTGTCTGTAGGGTTGAAGCTTCAAGTGATTCCTGTCCCCCACCTCAAATTGAATGTCTCTCCTTTGTGCATCTATTTTCCTCTTCATAATTTGTTGAGCTCTGCTCCTTCAGTTCCATCAAGATCTTGTCTCTTTCCACCAAGTACTACTCTTTGATGCCACCGTTGTGCTGCTTTGTCCATAATATATCAAGTGAGTCAGATCTCTTATGTATAACACCTTAATTGATGTTGTTCGAGCTGCCGAATGATAGGAAGTGTTATGCCAATACTCTGCGCATGTCAACCATTTTTCCCAAAACTTTGGTGCATCCGATATGAAGCATCGAAGATAAGTCTCCACACTACGATTGACCTCCTTTGTCTGTCCGCTGTCTAAGGATGATAAGCAGTG